TCAGCGTAGCTGGGTGAAGGTGGGGGAGATAGGCTCAAGGGGCCTGGTGCAGGAGTGGACACTATTAGTGAGTTTTGAATAGTCTACAGCTTGTGGGGCGAAGAGTTGGGAAGAGAGTTTAAGCAAAGAGTTAGTCTACTCAATGCTGGATGTGATAAGGGCATAGATAAGAGTCTCAGCAACCCAAGGGCAAAGGCAGGCAATGTTGCAGAGATGGGAAAAGCTGAATGGGTCAAGCCACAAATGTGGTGTTTAAAGGACAGTTGAGAGTCGAACAACACACAGATTCCGTACTGGCTCAGTGAGGTGGAGGCGCAGCCATGTATAGTGATTACATCAGCACCTGAGGTGAGAAGTTACTGGCGGGAGCCAATCAGGAGAGCCTCTATCTTGTCGACATTCAATTGGAAAAAGTTAGCTCTCATCCAGGAACTGATGTCAGGACAGCAGTAATCTTGGAATCAACAGTGGAAGAAGAAAGATAGAGCTGGGTGTCATCTACATGCACGTGGAATTTAACCTCATGCCTGCGGATAACATGATTAAGCCAAAGCATGTAAACATTAGAGAGGAAAGACCAAGGATAGAGCCCCAAGGAATGCAATTTGTTGTTGTTGTTGTTGTTGTTGCTGCGAAGTCATATCATATAGAGTGGCTTGTCTTCCAAAGATCTTCCACAAAGGCACAAGAAAATGCTTTACATGTATGACGGTGCGGGGGTGGGAGGAGAGCCGTTGGCAGGTACAAAGTGGAGACGCTGGGATAGGAAAGAATGAAGCCAGGTAAGGACAGAACTGTGAAGGAGGAGCAGAGAGGAAGGGCAATGGGGAAGAACGGAATGGTCGACGGTGTCGAAGGCACCAGAAAGCTCACGTAAGACAAGGAGGCACTATCAACGTGGAATGTCATCTCCTCACTGAGGTTGGTGAGGTAATTTGAAGCCAATTATTCAAGAGAGAAACTTAAAATGCTATTCAGAACATTGATTAATAAAACAAAGGAAAAATTAATAACCTCCAAAGCGAAGAGATAACTATAATTTGAAAAAATTGGAAAACACAATATGCATGCAAGAAATAATACATTTTGAAATTCCTTCACAAGGAATTTTTATTTCAAAATGCTCAGGGTTCAATGATATGGTCATTATGCAATCATATTATCACTCAATCCATATCCCACACACGGAGCGATATGTCATCAGTGCACAAGTCACCTATGATTGCCACCAAGACTTGCAGACCCAGTATAAACACACGGTCAATGTCTGTTTATAAATACTATAACTAAATGATTACAACTTCAAATTGGAACAGATTTGAATTAAAACAGTTTTCACCCTTCAGAGGGCCTCAAGATTTTGGAAAGCATTTTACGATAAAAATTGTGTGTGAAAGAAGTTGTAATGTTCTACTTTGTTGAACAAGAAACTAAAAAGATGAGCAAGGCAAGCAAGAGTTGGAGATGCACTACAGTATGTTTGTGTTTCTTAAAGCCTACACACACTTTCTTTGCAATCTACATTCTGATGTTAAAACTCGTGGCTGAATAACTTCGAAATCCCTTTTGATTTGACAATGGCTATATCTGCACATTTGAAAAGTCTCCAAAATTTAGTACATACAAGACCTTAAATGTTAACCTTTATCCAGCGATGGGAATGTTTTTAGCTTAATTTAGCAAGTTATACTTAAATAAGATAATTTTTTTAATGATGAATCCTCCAGAAACGCTTGATGTGGTGGAATCTGACTATAATGCACGCAGATTCATTTCAACTTTTTAAACATAATTTTGAATGACCACCTGGCTTGAAGCTATAACCACAAGCAAAAGAAAAAAAAGAATTTGCATAATCCTTCTGTGAGTTTAAGGCGTTTCACCCACCAGGTCAAATATATACCTTATTTTTCCAAATATAAAGCAACCTTGATCATAAGATGACCCCTAATTTTCATAGATATGGTTGTTGAAGCAAAAAGTGTAATTATGGTAAACATAGAACAGTCAAAAATCATACACATCATACATTTTATAATGTTATATTATAATTACGTGTATAATAGTGACAACCTGTTTTACAAATTTTAAAATACTGGTAATTTGGAGTATTCTCTATGTCTATCATAACATCACATTGCACCACCCCTTGCTCATCAGGTTCTCTTCACCATAAACCAATGCACACATCATTGCACTATGTACTATTGCCTGAATCCATTTCCCTGCTTCCTTGATATATCCTTTAATATTTCTACTTCAAGTGTCTATCCATCTCCCTCAATCAATTTCTCATCTCAGGTAATCTGAGGCAGGTACATTTTAATCACTCACTGCATGAAGAAACACACTTTTGCCTCAGTCATAATCCATTTGTCTTAATTCTAAAGGCCGAGTCCTCTTGTAATTGATTGGCCCACTAAGGGCCAATTCTATTTGTCCATTTCCTTCATAATTTTGAACATTTCAATTAAATTGCCCCTTAACATCATCAACTATAGGGAACACAGGTCCCAGGCTAACACTGTAGTTCCACCCCTCACCATTATCTTTGTCAATCCATGCTAGATTCTCACTAAAACCAAACGCTTCCTCCAAGAATCCCAATAGCCTTGTTCAGCCTCAATAGAAGAACACTGCATTTAAATACCATCTCAAGACCCTCCTCTTCGATTACACCTTCGGTCACCCTCCTACCCTTACCCTCGCTACCCTCCACCCTTCCTGATCCCAACCCGCTGCTCGGGTACAAATCCCTGACTGTCTATACAAATGTAATGTGTCATTGTTTTGTTACATTTGTATTCTATGCCTCTTGGTATGAAATCTAGTTTCCCGTTAACATTGGAAATGGGTCTCTGCGTCTGTGAACTAGCTTTTAGTGATTATTTACCCAAATGCCCAAGACCCTATGTTCTTCAACTCCTCACAACTTTTAGATGTTCTGGGAGGTTTAATCCTACACTATTTTTCTCAAATGCACAATATCTTCCTTGGATAACAGGTTGGGGGCCGTCCAGTTCACATACCCAAGGTAATTCTTAGAAATAATTAGATAGGGGCGCTTCAATTTTGAAAAGGAACGAAGGCGTTACAGAAATATACAAGATGCTACACTGGATTGAGAAAAGTAAATACCGAGTGACATGCCAACACAAAAGCACAAGAAGAAGAGGGTACAGACGAAGAGCAATTTCAGGACAGGCACCAGAAAGTTTTATTTTACACACAATAAATTATGACAAGTAACAACTGGAACAATGGTGGAAGCCAGGATGCTGGACATGTTTAAGAAATGGTTTGATGCCATAATAGGAAAACGATAAGGTGCGTATTGTGATCAGCTAAGACCATATGAATCTTCAACATTCATAGAGCTGCAGAGATGAATGACAAAATAGGAAGCTCATTTTGTGGGGTCAGTGTTTACTGCTCCAAGAAGCCATTCATCCTTGGAACCATTCCCCGCTCTTTCCCTGGTCTGTATTCCCTTGAGTTTAGAAGGTTAAGGGGTGATCTGATTGAGGTGTTTGAAATGAGAAAGAGATTCGATAGGGTAGCTATAAAGAAACTATTTCCTCTGGCGAGGGAATCCAGAACAAGGGGGCATAATCTTAAAATTAGAGCTAGGCCATTTAGGGGTGAAATCAGGAAACATTTTATCACGCATATGGTTGTGGATCTCTCTCCCCCAAAGGGCTGTGGGTGCTGGATCAATTTCAAGACTGATGTGGATAGATTTTTGTTCAGTAAGGGGATCAAAGGATATGGGGCAAGGATGGGTAATTGGACTTCAGGAACAGATCAGCTATGATCTAATAGAATGGAAGAACAGGCATGAGCGGCTGAATGGCCTGTTCCTTTTCCCTTGTTCCTTCGAGTATTCTGCCTGTGCATATATTTCTCCAATTCTTTTTTTAAACGCTCCAATTGACTCTGTTCTAACAGCCACCCCTGGCAAATCATTCCGTACTTCAACAACCCTCTGGGAGAAGAACCTCTCCTGTTACTCCCGGAGTCACAATCTTGAATTCATTCATCTGTACATCTCTTGTGATCGTTTTCCTTGGAGGCTCGCTTATTCTCCAGCCGTTTGATTTTCCCCATCTCACAGACAAATTTCAATTTGTCTCTCTGATTTGGGAAGCAAGAATAAAAATTTCATAGACGGCTGCTACTTGAATTCAGGCCTCCCAAATAATAATATTTCTAGTGTTGAGAACTAACCAGTTTGATTAATTAAAGGATCCCAATTGTTTTTCTTTCACTTTTATGCATAATGATTTTGCTATTATTAACCCCAGCCAAACTCACGTCTTCCTACACCATCAGGAAACCGGACCATCTCTTGGTGCTGTAACCCTGTCTTGTCTCTTGCTAACTAATCACAGAGCAAGTAAGTCATGAATAGATGTTGTGTCCCAATCCCTCCCAGCTAGAGGAAACTGCATGGGTGCTCATGCCCTGAAGGAAGTATGCGGGCAGAACAAACCAAAAACTAGATGATCGCATTATCCAGGGGGACCACAACCCAAACACACTGGTTTCTATCTCTGTGACTATTCTGGAGAACAAATAGCAAATTTTTCTAAAAGGGCTCACTAAAATAATATTTTTCTCCAGCAATCACTGAGATACTGCTAAGATTTCTATGCCCTGTATTTCACAGCCCAACACAATTGTTTTTTGTTTGCATTTCCAAATTGATACATTATAAACATCAACACACACCAGAGGCTTACATTGCTGTGCTGAAAAAACATCTGAGGATAGTCATTCATAGTCTTTGTTGCTCAAAATGTATGTAAACACAATTTCCAAAGAAACTTTGGAAAGCTCATTGCTTAGAATTTGCAGGTCAGACTACAATACATAATAGTAGCGGTCTGAGCTGGAACATATTATCAACTATGCAAGTCAGTGCATATTGATAATAAACAAAACAAAGTGTACAAATATTTTACTAAAACTGGTTACATGAGCATATTATATAGTCTCACCTTTATAAACACCAAGTCTTAGACAGCAATCAGAGGCACAAGAGATGCAATGTGATACCAAAGTAGTCATCTATCAAGAACAAAATAGTTAAATAAGCCATATTGGACTCCAAAAATATAAGAAACAGAATACAATTCTTGCAGTTTTCACTGTAAACACAATGGTAGCTTCTTAAGCAGAAAGGGAGGGGAGATGTGTGACTCATTTTGTTAATCATTGTTCGGAAATGAAAGGCATTACCTTTTGTGACCTACAGTAATTCAGTTAACATAACAGCATCCAAAATTATACACACACAGATCAGATGCAGTCAGGTTTTAGAAGAAACACTCATACAGTAAGGGACAAGTCAGAAGCTCTGGTAAACTAATTATTTTCAACCACATCAGATGCATCCCTTCTCCCCTCTAACTGCACATGTCAGCACAGTGCCACATGTCCAGTCTGTTTTAATGCTCATCATTTTTTTTTGGGGGGGGGGGGAGAATTTTAATATTTTTGCTGTATATTTTTTAAACGATTAGCTCTGCAACTCGTGACGACAAACGAAAATGCAAAATAGTGGGTGGGTGGGGTATAAGGAGAGTGAGTGAGTGAGGGGGTGGGGGGTGAAGAGTGGGGGGGGAGGGGTGATGGGGGAGGAGTGGGGGGGGGGGGGGAAGGGGCAATAAGCAGTTTTGCAACATAAAACTACGGGTTTTTATCATCAGGTTTCTTCCCTCCTTCTCCCTCTCCCTCTCCACCTCACAGCCATCCCCATAACAATAATGGTTACAAAAACACACCCTCAAACCCTAAATGCTGCTCAGTTTATACCCATATATATATTTATATATATGCATAGATATACACACACACACATATATATATATACACATAAAATAAACAGCCAAGCGCTGGTGGGGGGGAGGGGGTGGGGGTCGCATTAGATAAAGAGAGTTCGAGCACATACCCGAAATGCAAACACACACAAAAAAAATAGCAAGTGTCGAGAGAAAGTTTGGCGAGAGAGCAGCGTAAAGGGCTAAACTTCCGGGGTTTATATATATATATATAAATATATATATATCTGTGTGTGTGTGAGAGAGAGAGAGAGAGGGAGGGAGGGAGGGAGGAGGGCTGAGGGAAGAGTAAATGCTATTCAGCAGCGGTTTCAAGTCGCCCTCTGACTGGGGAATTACTGGAGTCTGTGTCGGACTCCCTCCAACTGCACTCGGCCGACGGGGGAAAACGCGCCGTGTAAACACACAGCCGGTCCCCCATCCCCACCAACCCCACCCCGGGCCCCGGCCCCGGGCCTCCCCCGCCCCGGGCCTCCCGCCACCCCAGCCCCGGGGGCCGGGCCGGGCCGGGCCTGACCCGCACCGCACCGCACCCCGGCCCCGCCCCACCCTCCCACCCTCGCGGGCCGGGGCTCGGGTCTCGGGCCTCGGGCTCGGGCTGATCCCCCGCGGGCGGGTAAATGGGACACTCCAGAAATTTATTCTCGGGAAGACTGACAGTCGGGGTCAAGAAACAGCTGTTGCAGTGACTGCTTCTCCCTCCCTCCCTCCCTCCCGCTGTCTGACAGCGCAGTGACTCGCCACAGCAAAGTTGGCCGCCAGCAGCGCGTTTGAAAAGACTCATGGTTTTTTTCATTGCAAAAATGTTCTTCTTCTTCTTTTTTTTTGGTGGGTGGGGGGCAAAAAAAAACACGCAAACGTTTTTAAAAAAAAAAAAAAATTTGTAGTGGGGGGGTGGGGGGACGACCCCCCAAAAAATTTTTTTGCCCCCCCCCCCCCCAAAAAAAATATTTCTCCCCTCCCCACCGCCGCCGCTGATCTGGTGCAAGTTGTGCACACCGACCCACGACGCGCGCGGAAAAAATAAAAATATATATATGTATATGCAGCGTTTTTTGAGGTGGCTGCGGGGAAATCATACCTGGAGCCGTCTCCCAACTGCATGTTGCTCACACGCGCGCACACACCACACACACACCGCACACACACCACACACACACGCACATACACATATATATATTTATAGGTCTCTATCCAGCCACAAGATTTTGGTCAGACGATTTTAAGTTCTGCGCCGGTGGCGAGATTAGTCTGGAAAGGGGACCGACCCGAAACGTTGCTGAACGTTACAGATAAATCAGGAGGTCAATAAATAAATGGGCAAGTTGTGAAGGTGGAGTCATCCCGATTTTCTCCCCTCTTGTGAAGACGGCTCCTTTTCCAGAGCTGCTGGTTCAGCTGTATCTTGGCTCAAGTGGGTATTTTCTCCTGTGTGACTCCCTCCCGACAGTGAGCATTATTTAGATGCCGAGCCCAGAAATTCTGAAATCCATCAAAACGCCACAAGAATGTGACAATAATTATAATAATAATAATAATCCTTGCATTTGATATGGCGCTTATCACGTCTTCGAGACGCCTCAAAGCGCTTCACAGAATGTACTGTAAAGTGAATTGACTGTATTGTGGAGTTCTGTAGCTCAGTGGTTAGAGCACTCGCTTTGCACGCGAGAGACCTGGGTTCGATTCCCGGCAGGGCAAAACCTTGGGCAAGTTTCCTTACTCCACACGCCTAATAATAATCCCTTAAGAAAAAAAAATCGGTTATTTTCAATCCACGACTGTTTGTGGGACACTGCTGTGCGCAATTGGCTACCGCATTTCGCCCACAAATATATAGTCAATTTACTTTGCAGTCTATTCTGACGTGAAAAGCTCTATATCAAATGCAAGGATTATTATTATTATTATTATATTTGTGGGCAAAATGCAGCAGCCAATTGCACACAGCAGTGTCCCACAAACAGCCCTGGATTGAAGTGACCAATTTATTATTGTTTTTTTTTCTTGAGGGATTACTATCAGGTGTATGGAGTAAGGAAACTTGCCCAAGGTTTTGCCCTGCCGGGAATCAAACCCAGGTCTCTTGCTTATGATGCGATTGCTCTAATCACTGAGCTACAGGAATCCACAATAGCCACCCCTAACACACCCTAGGCATCCAAACTGAACTGTTCATGGTCAACAAATTGAGCAGTGAATATACTAAACTATTTGGGAGCAGGACAAAGGTTTAATTTGGTGGAGGGGGGGGGGGTCAACCGAGTGTCCGCCTGCTTTGGAAGCCCATCACTATGCTTAAGAGTATCCAAACTGGATTGTTCTTAATCAATGAGCTGTGAATTTACTGATCTATTTTGAAGCTGGACAAAGGTTTAACTTTATGAATATTGGACTCTCACTTTTTTAAATATACCCCCCTTTCAGTTGATTTCACCCATCTTTCAGACATGCTGCTGCAAACATCAATTTCAGTCAGAGTGCTCTGGTGAACTGAAAGCAGACATTTGAAGCTATGTGAAAACAATGATTATCCTTCTTCCCAATGGAGAGGCATCTGTATCTCCCCAATGTCCTGGCCAAGATCAGAAACTCACTGTGTGATACTTGAAAGGATTGAATTACATCCTACAAATCCTTGACCCAGTCAATCCCTGACTCAATGTGGCAACATAATTTATAACCTAAAAGATTCATCAAATGCTGACACTTAGGACAAGTCATAAACTTTTTACTCTAATTTTCATATTTCAATATGGGTCTTTTATGCCAAACGAATCAATGGATGTCTGTGGTGCCATGGTTTAGAAATAAACTCTTCTTTATTTGTGTGTTAACATAAAGGTTCACAAGGTAATGAGGCCTCAAAGTTCTTGCCATTGTTTTTGTAATGTCAGTGTGCACACCACTTGGCTTTGTGAGGAAAGCTTACTACACACTTTAATGGTCCCAGTGTAGCACTTGAAATTGCAGCACATAATTGGCATGTGTTATTTTCACCCATGTGCAATATCGCTGCTAAGGGTGGTGAAAATAACAGTGGTTGATACTTAAAGACAAGCTTAATTAGGAGTTTCAAATTTCAGGATTGGCTAACATTCAGAGACTCAGTATTGCAAGTTTGGGTTTGAGATTTTCAAATTATTTGTTTATAGGAACACAAGTGAATTAGATGATAATACTTGGGTCTAATTTAGTATATCCGTAACACGAAAGTGATCCAATAACTGTTACTTTCCAAACATCATTTACTTTTCAATATTCACAATTACGAAGTCCAAAAGCCGACAAAGTATGAAAAAAAGGCTGGAGACAAAGACACCATCATTCTGTTTTGCTCCTCTGCTTTTTTAAACATTGATGCCTTTCATAAATTGCAATTAGTCATTTTGCAAATATTAAAGATAAGACTTTTCAAAGTCATAAATAATAATAATCCTTACATTTGATATAGCGGCTTTCACATCAGGAGGGCAACTCAAAGCGTTTTGCAGGATTTATTGTAAAGTGATTATACTTTGTGGGTGAATACAGCAACCAATTTTTGTGCAATGCTTATGAATGGAGCTGAACTTACTATTTTTCATCCCTTTTCTTCCTCATTATCTCAGAATTTTCACTCTAATTCCTTTTGTCTGCATGGTCTCCACAATTTGTTCAGCCGAATAACCTTGCAATTTGGTATTGATTCCAGGTCCACTGATGTTCTGTCCGCCTCCCTGTCAAACATTAAGGCTTGGATGAGCCACAATTTCCTGCAACTTGATATGGCCAAGATGGAAGCCATCCTTCTCCTTGGCTCCTGCGAGTGACTCCTCACTTCCTCCTCTGACCTGTTCACCCTCCCGGCCTTCTCTCTCAAACTCAACCAACCATTACACAACTTTGCTGTCTGTTTCAAACCTCAGCTCTATTTTCTCCTTCCTGACCAAGTCCTGACCAAGACTGCTTTTCTGTATCTCCGCCCAAACACCCACCGCCACCTCTATTTCACACCAAATGCTATCAAAACCCTTATCCATTAACCTTTAACCTTTGTTGCTTCCCGTCTGGACTATCAAATGCATTCCTCTTTCCACTATCCATAAACTTCAATTTATTTAAAATTCTTTCACCTACACCAAACTTTGCACACTCATCAGCCCTGCTCCTGATATTCTGCTATCCTCTTACCCCACTCCTCCGCTCACTCCCTCTACTCAGTTAACTCTAGTTACTAAGCAAGCTCTATCCTCTCTTTGCTGCCATTGGGGGCTGAGATTTAAAATTCTACACTCCTAATGCCTGGAGTTTTCTCTCTCCACCGCTGCGTCTCACCCGCTCTCTATCTGTGTTTACATCTTAAGGCCTACCTCTTTGCCCACGCCTATGGTCACTTCCCCCAACCCCCTCTTCTCAGTGTGTCATGGCTTGGTTTCTGACCCCATCTTAGCAAAGCGCATTACACTTAATAATAATAATAATAATTCTTGCATTTGATATAGCACCTTATCACGTCGTTGAGACATCTCAAAGCGCTTCATTGAATATACTGTAAAGTGAATTGACTGTATATTTGTGGACGAAATGCGGTAGCAAATT